TGGCAGTGCTGGGGCTTGAACCCCCGGCCTTCTGATCAGTAACCCAGAGCCTTGACCGTTCAGCCACCACCGCCCTACGTGTGGTGTTCCACGTAGCGGAAGGGGCGGAGCCAGCTGAAGGTGCTGCGGTTTCAATCTACGCCCGGTTTTACACACAGAATCAAAGAGCTGCTTCATCACAGACGCACCTTAAAGGTATAAAGTTTAAACCGTACACTTTTGAGTTTTTAAAAAAAAATCAGTAGAAATGTGGAAGTTTGAAAGCAGCTGTCGTTAGTGTTAGCGGTCGATACTTGTACGATCACTTAGCACGACAGTACGATATGTAGTATGATCACGTACCGCACACTGAAGTACAGCGTGTACAGTGACAAAATATGGGATGAGACAGAGGGACGTCGTGGACCGTAGGCCAATGTGTGTGCGTGATAAACACCGTACCTCTTGCCGAAGTTGCTGGCCGGCGTTGCCAGACTGGCCGAGAGCTCGTTGACTCTGCGGGGGCGCGCTGACGGTGTCCTCCTCTGCGTGGCACGGCCCGGAGACTCCTTCGGCTCGGGCGGCGGGCTCTTCACGCTCGAGCGGTTCAGGTCCTTCAGGACGTCGTAGTTGATCTTACTGGAGATCCGTTTCTGCTCCAGCATCTTCTCAATGGCCTCGTCGGCCGTGCTGGCGTTGATGGGTGCTCGCCTCTGAGCCTGTTTCCTCGGCTGTGAAAGAGGAACAGTGAACCGTTACACACACACACACACACACACACACACACACACACACACACACACACACACACACACAGAGACAGAGACAAAGATCCTAAGTGCTTTGCTAAGTCTTGCGTTAAAGAATAATTAAGAAGAAAATACTTCACCTTCTTCTCCTTGTAGATACCTAGTTCTTTCTCCTTCGCTATTCTCTCCTCCTTTTCTACACACACACAGACACACACACACACACACAAAATAATTATTTCAGAATGTCTTTCATCATAAAATGCCATAATATCACAATGTTGAAGCTTTTATCTGTTTATTATTTTTTTTTTACTATTGTTATCTGTTTATTTATAGTGCCATCAATTCATTCAGTGTTGCCAGAGCAGGAGAATTCCCCCAGATGGATTATTTTTATTTACCTTCATCAGAAAAATACAGCTTTACAACCTTTGTAACTTGGTCAGGTCTATTTCAGGACGGGTTTGCATTGAAACTTGCGACCTAGTCTGAAAATAGTGGATCCAATCTGGCAACCCAGAACTTGTACCAAAAATGGATTATTCACAATTCACAATCTATACTGAGTAGATGTAAACATTTTACAGCAGTGGATAATGAAGTAAACTTAGCGGGGTGGCAACTCGTCCAAAGGAGCAGCTGGGGCAGAGCTCCGCCATTTATATCAATAGTTCAACAAATACTAATCTTCATAAAGTCCTGAGTCACATCTCCATACAATTTAAATTCCACTGAAATACGTCACTTTTGAGTCACTAATGAATTTAAAAACTGTTATTTGACAGATATTTCGGTTGATTTGCTCACGTTTCTTGATGTTGCTCAATCGTGGGGCAGCGTACATACTGCCCCACTTCACCTCCACAGACTTATTACTACACCTAGTGGTCAGAAATAGGAACTGCCACAAGCACCACTAGACAGTCATATGGGCACATTTTAACGACTGGTTGCCAGATTGGGCTAGACTGCCACAATCTTGTTTAACAGCATATCATCTGAATTAAATTTCTACAAAAGTGTAAGAGCAGGAAGTGTGTCTATGATGTACAGAACCATTTCTACTGCAAGATATAATGCAAAGATTGAGAAAGGGAGAGAGGGATGACGGAGAGAGCAATGTCCATGCTTCAGAAATGCGTGTGTACTGCTGACTCAGTGTTTACGTTCGTTGTATTGCTCGCTTGTTGTACTTTTTAAACAAAGTCTTTTTCCTATTATGTTTCATTCAAATGAATAAATAAATTAAAGAAATCAGAAGAGAAATGGTTGAATAATTATGAATAAATAAATAAATGCTATTTATTAAAAATATATACACCTTTCTGTTCTTTGAGGTAGTCTGCGTTCTCCAGCAGCCAGAGTTCGGTTTTAATCTTCACCTCCTTCTCATTGAGGATGTACTGAGGATGAGAGAAAAAACAGAGATAGTGCACTGATGTTCTGTTCATTTGTCAGTGTGTATAACTCCATGCACACACACACACACACACACACACACGATCAAAAGCGAAGCAGGTGTCTCATCAGGTTTCACCTTTCACTCACGCATGTGAAAATGAGCATCTCTGATGGAAATGTCACGGCGTGTGTGTGAGTGTGTGTGTGTGTGTGTGTGTGTGTGCGCTAATACGTCTAATCACTAAATGTGAAATCAATCACTAATCACAGCTCGGCCGCTTCTGCTCAGTGAGGCTTTTACAGCTCACACACATTCGATTTATTGTTCTAACATAATGAATGACGAGCGTTTCCCGGTTCGCCTGTCGGAGTTGTTCACACTCACCCACTCGAGTTCGTCGTCGTCGATCCCGCTCAGGTCCAGCTCACCGCCGTCCGCCGTCTGCTCTGTAAACCAAAACAAACCATGTTAACATTTTAAAGTCTTCCTGAACTCAAAAGTCTCCTCCTTGATGTCTCATTATAGTTCTGCAAAAAAAAAAAAAAAAAGATTTAAAACTCGAGTATGCAAGTGCACTAGTATGCAAATTTGTATGTGTAACATTTGTAACAGAGATCACACCTTGCATTAGCTGTAGCAAGGTGCTACCATGAAACCATGGCAACCAGCAGTGAAGACAAATTGCTAGCGTCCAACGTATAGAGTCTTGAGTCATGTGTTATGGGAAAAAAGCAACCGCTGCCAGTGTGAACGCAGAGCACATGCACGTGTGTGTGTCGATTATGTGCAGGCCGCCCGTGCCCACTGCTTCCTGCCGAGGTCATTGTAATTGAGTGTTTTGTATGTATGTGTGTGCGTGCGCGCGCGTGTGTGTGTGCGCGCGCGCCTGCCTCAGGGCTCCCTCTACCTCCTCTACATCCCTCTTTCCTTCCCCACTTCCTCCCCTCCCTCCATTCCTCATGTCTCTTCCTCTAACCTCTCTTCCAAAAAAAGCCTAAGGCCTTCTGGCAACGCTTCACAAGTCCTCCATGATGTGCAGAACTTCTCCATACACACCTCCTGCACTCCATCTCTCTCTCTCTCTCTCTCTGTGTAAGTGATGTAGAGAAGAGAGAAGGCTGGAGTGTGTAAGAGCTCGAGAGAAAGAAAACGAACTCTGCTCTGATCTCCAGTCTCCGCTCCCAAATCTTTTTATACAGGCAGCAGTGGAGCTGAAGACACTGCAGCTGGTGTAATATTTAACAATAATAATAATAATAATAATAATAATAATAACAATAATAATAATAATAATAATAATAGTAATGCCATACTGCACTGCATCACTGTGACAGAATGTAAAAATGGTTCATTTTATTTATTTTCATGAACAGATTTTTGTCTCTTCAGCTTTTCACTCCGTGTCTATTAATATCAGTAGAGGAGGTATGGCCCCAGTGCTCGCCACTCCCAGTGAAGGAGGCGTGGCCTCTGTAACTGTCAGTGCCGTGAAGGAGGCGTGGCCTCAGTACCCATCAGTGCAGTGAAGGAGGCGTGGCCTCAGTACCCATCAGTGCAGTGAAGGAGGCGTGGCCTCAGTGCCTGTCTAAGTGCATTGCAACTTATTGTTGCTGAAGAAGAGATACACAGCTTTAATGCTTCCCCTATGAAATCCTGCTGTGTGCTTCAGTGCGTGCCTGTGTGTGTGTGTGTGTGTGTGTGTGTGTGTGTGTGTGTTTGATGTCTGATGTGGTCAGAGATCATCAGACTGCACAGATTAGTTACTGCACTTAACCAGAACAAGAGTTAAAAAGAAACAGACAAACCACAACAGAGCGAACAAACCCAGGTGCTGAGAGAGAGAGAGAGAGAGATAAACACTGTAATCATGGCCCACCTGGACTGACTTCAGAAAGAACAAAGGAAGGAGAAAAGAAGGAGGAGAAGAAAGAGCTCAAGTAATACACATAACAAATTAGAGATGACACGAGGAGACAGCACACACCTGTCAGGCCTGCTTCTCATTCTGACTCCAGACAAAACTCTCTCTCTCTCTCTCTCTCTCTCTCTCTCTCTGTGTGCCTCATCTCACTCCAAAAGGCCCTTCACCTGTTTTACCTGCTACTCCAGCATTACACACACACACACACACACACACACACACACACACTGCACTACGACTTCATCCTTACGCACTACCATTCCTCTGTTACACGACTGCACTCCCTATTTATCATCTTTTGTGCATCTGGGCTTAATGCAACGTTAAACTTTATCAAATGAATCCAAGCTTAATGTAACAGCGTTGATGTGACAGAAAGGATCATGTTTAATTAAAAAAAAAAAAAATAAATAAATAAATAAAAATCTCAAAAGCTCCTGAGCAGATCAGCTGTCTAAGGTCTAGCTCTATCCTCACAGGGTCGTGAGTTTAAACCTCGACTGAGGGCTTTGCTCTCCACTGGTTAGAAAATAACAAGTGTCTGTACGCTCGTGTACACAGAACACAGGACATCCAGCATAAAAACTCTGCCGAATCAAACATGCGGCCCAACGACCCTGAACGCGAGCCGCCGAAAGAACAATAACATTCAGAGTTGGGACAGAATGATACAAAACTTCTGAGAGATTTATCAGCTTTAAAAAGACTAAAGGGAAGGAACAACTAGAGAACTGGGTGGGATGAAGTACCGGTATATAACGTAAACAGTTCTGGAAAAGTCAGGAATAACTGCATCAAACATTGCAGTTGTACTGAAAGGACTTGTGTTTAATTTAATTCTAAGATAGTCTTGAGAAAATTTCCTCAAATTTAAAGTGAATCTGTTCACAAACCTGACCAACTTCACCAGTGCGCGTTTAAAGGAAGAGAAATCTGTGGGATTTTCCTACTCTAATACAGTTTCCACTTATTTACTCACCGATTATTAATTCCTGTACATGTATTGTAAAATGTTGACTA